CATGGGTGTCTGCCCGCCCCCCCCCCCGCCCCCCGCCACCACTACTGAAAAGGCAACACAATCCAAATGCTGATTAAATGGACTAAGATAACTAAAAGGCGGGAAGACCAAATCCACTTGAGGAAAGAGTCTCACCTAAAAGTAAAAAAGTGCTTAAAAGGCTACGTGCAGTGGCTAAATGGCCACTGAAGTCACTGGTGTGTTAGGTCGCATCATTTAGTGACGCCGGGAGAGGCTGCACAGGACTGAGCCCTCCTTACCAGTCCTCTGGTTTGACCGCAGCAGGATCCGGGATTCTTGCTCTCTCGTCCCAGTCATCAGGCTTCTTGTCACTGGGATCCTCAATTTCTTTGGGAGGGTTGATGGGAGGGGCCACATCCTCTAGCAGGCTTCCTTTGTTGACAACGATTTGATCAATCAATACTTCAAACGTGTCATCTGGATTCAATACTGAAAACCAATTCGAAAATACTTATCATATTGCTAGATTATTTTAAAGGTAATCTTTAAATAATCAAACTACCCTAAGCTTCATGGGAAAATAGCATCTCAGCCAGAAGGAGGAATCAACCAGTGTGTTAAGTCAAAATAGGGTAACTGTAAGGACAACTTAGTAAGATGGTCCATTACATCTCAAAAAACACTCAACAGCTAAGTCTGGGACTCATACAACCCACCAGCGCACTTTTTATAGTTACAAAATACAATCTTCTTCAGTACTTTAATTTTGGGAACAATCTCAAATTTAAAAAGTTACAGGTACACCACAAATAATCCATGTTTGTTCCTGCCCGAGTACCCGCCCTGAAAACATCAGGCCCCTGATACGTTCGAACAGAAGAATTAAGAGGACCTACCAAGGGTGTAAAGATGAGTCTTTCTGTCTGTAAAGAACTTTTTAAGATCTACATCGGGAGGCTTGGCGTGTTTCTCTTCAAAAACTCCAGTTTTGGGATGTTTATGTCTGAAGATAAAGTGAAGTTTATAATCTTCGCCACATTTATCTGGTCCAAACATAATGGTATAAGATGTTTTATCATGAAAGTTTTCCTTCAAAGAGAGATGAGTGATGGGATTAGCCCAGAACTGTAACTTAGAGAGCTGCTCTATTCTCTCCAACTGGGCAGCGTCTACAGCAGTGACTAAACGCTGGCTCGGAGTCCCTTGACACACGTGATAACCACAGACCCAGAGAAGGACAAATCCTGTTCACATACATCTTAAAGCACACACGCCTTGCTCCCTGACCATGTCGGGGAGAAGCCAGAACCCGCCCACTACCCAAGCCTCCTCACTTCATGCAAGTGAGGGTGGGCACTGAGGTAGCCGAGGTGCTTCCTTGGGCCTGAGCCCAGGGCTGCGCTTCGCTCCAGCAAGGCTGGGCGCTCCTGCTCCAGCAGCTGAGCCTCACTCCTCCCTACGGGAAGCACAGGGGCAGCGGGGCAGGCAGGCGGCAGACAGGGTGCTCTAACTGCCTGGGGCCCAGAACTGACTTCTTAGCCTGCCTATAGTTCCGTTTGGTCACCTCTAAAATCCAGACAGTACCAGTACCTACCTTACAAAGTTTCTCTGAGTTCGCCAAAGTGCTTAGAAAAATACTCAGCATTAGATTTTTAGCACTGTCGTTATAAAACGAGCTTCAACGCACACCTCCCGGGGGGCTCCCTATTGCCTGCTCCTTGTAATAGCAGGTGGGGGACCCACAGGGACCCCGGCCAACCCAGCCAGCAGGGGAGCTCACCCCCTTCTGTTAGGGCAGACACCCTGAAGGGCCGCCCACAGAGAAAGCGAGAGGCCTCCCCATCTTCAGAGGGTGCTGGCACAACCTTAAAGCTGCATCATCGGCAAGGACATTCTGACCCGGCTGTCTGTCGCGCTGCCCACGTGGGACTGGCCACGGCTTTCCCGCTTGGCTCTCTTACTTCCCTGAGCAATCATAAAGTCCTTGTTTGGTGAAGGGCATTAAGTTGACCTTTCAAGGACATTTATAAGCACATTACTTTTTCTTTACAGACATGTTAAGTAAATAAAGTTGTCTAATGTTGCTCAAGATGACAAAACCAACCTGTCCCCTGTGAAGTGGACCTGAGGACCGCTGCAAAGCCAGAGACTCACCCTGGATAAAGATTTTCAAAGTTCTTTTCGATTTCAGTTGCAAATAAAAGTTTCAAGTTTATCAAATACTCTTTAAATATACACTTAACTTTAATAAGGTTTTCTTAAACATGAAAATATCATACCAGATTCAAACCATCAGTGTCTGCTAGGAGTTTAATGTATGCACCTCCACAATCAATACCATCTTGAAAATTTACTTCATATCTAAATGAAGGGAAAAAGAATCACACTGCTGATAAATAAAAGTTACTGATTGATCGTTCTTCAAAATCTAACGTTATACTCTCAATTCATTTAAACACAAACGTTTGACATTACCAGAAACTCATATAAAGCATACGGGGAATCTAAGCAGAAATGCTTCCTGTTGCAACTCCTTAAGACATTAAAAATAGGATTATAATCGGCAAGAGAGAAATCAACCAGTTGTCGGAATAAATTTTTCATCAACAGTTGAATTCAGAATGAGACACACTGAATAAAACTGCTAGCGGAAGTGCGACATTCAGATAAGGTAGCGCCAGGCACAGTCTCTGGGAAATAAAAACAAACACAGACTGTGAGGCCAGAAGCTGCAGCACCAGATCTTCTAGGAACTGCTGATGAGCTTACTGAGTTCACTGCTAGTTTGCCGCTTGGCTGAACTACCCCTAAAACATGGTAAACAGATGTGAGTCTAAATATCTCCAGCCAGGAGATCTCATAACCTCCATCGCGAGAGACAGCAAACAGCTGGAAGGGAGTCGCCTGGCCCTCCACGCTGCATGATTTTCAGCGCAACTTTGTGGCTCTTTTCTTTTCTCAGTTAAAGAAATACTCCTGTTGTGCAATGAGACAGAGGCTTGCTCACAACAGCAGAAGAGATTAGTAAATGGATGGATTGCATGTGACTGAAACTGATGGAAGAAATGGCTACCAAAGTCAATGAATTAAAGGGGACCGAAACTGGAGAAGTAATAGGAACAGGTCGGCAATCTGAGTAATGTACTGTAGTTTAAAATCTTGTAGGAAACGGTAGTGACAACAAAAATATAAAATAGCACACAAAACAGCCCAAACCCAGTGAGTGACTATATTTGGTATCGAAAGAACAGCGTAAGTTCAGTAAAGTGTTAAGTGGTACCTCCGAGATTTCGCTGGCTGGTGGGAGACCCCCACTCCAGCTCCTACTCTGCTCAGTTTCTAGAGGTGTCTGCAGAAGAGGCCGCACAGTGAACTTGGGAGTCAGCGGCCGGAGACGGGTCCTCGTGCCCACCCGGCCACGCCTGTCGGGGCTGAGCTCGCAGGCCCCGCCTGCCTGTGACCGGGCCACACCCACCTGAGCCCGCAGCCCAGGGTGCTGAGGGCATCACGCATGTCGGGCAGGTAAATGCCCAACAAGGTGACTTCTGTTATGACGAGAAGAAAGGTTTTGTCTCGTTCTTTTTCATTTTCAAAATAAAGGGCAGTGTGTCCTCAAAATCTTACTGATTTTTTATTTTAAGCAACAGCTGGCAAAGACAGCTTCGTGGAGATGTCTTTGATGACTATAAAGTCAGAGAAATGCTGCAGGATGTGACTAGTGGTAGATACTATTTTAGGTAAAACAAAAGAGAACTTTACTAGAGATGAGCTAAGGTGCAAAAGGCAAGGAGGGCTAGAAGAGCCGTTCTCTGACATCCCGGGAACTGTGAGCCCAGCCTTCCTGCCCGCAGGCTCAGCCACGGAGCCTGAGACCCGCTGTCCACGCAGAGGGTTCAAATCACTAGCCTGTGTTCCGGGAGAACAGTTCACATGGGGTTCGAGGATCGGGGAAACAGCACGGTAGTTTCCCTGCTGCTAAGTTTGAGACTCAGGGAAAATGAGGCCGTAGGCGGAGGTTGCGCACCGTGTCCAAGACCACCCCCAGCCCTTCCATGAGGCAGGGATTCTGTCAGGGGAAGAACTGTGGGCACAAGTGTCTGGGCACCACAACACAGAAGTTACCTCTCAGAGTCTTTAATGGGTGAACATCCCTCCTCAGGTCTAAGATTAGCGTAGACTTAGTTTCTCAAACTTGTATGACAACACAGTGGGAATTAACATTCATGCAGTTTGGAAAAGGTCACTCATAAACAGCACTGGTAGTATTTAGTATTTCCTTATCGATAGTCAGAGAAGTGTCCACGTGCCTCTGAACTGTTTGCAAGGCTCTCCGAGACTGCTATTCAATTCTCCTTGGTACTTGCTTTTGCAGGAAACACAGTTTCATGATTTACTAGTCTTTTAGGCTTACATGCTGCTGGCTTACATGCTGCTCTGGGTATAGAGCCTCTTGACAGCAGACAACTTTAAGAGTTAAAATAAAAGTGATTTCAGCACAGACTGCAGTCTAATGGCAGCATTTCATGTATTATAGATGACCTAACTTTTAATTTACTTGCTTTTTACTCAAAATCTCAGGCTGCTTAAGCACAGACATGCATGTGCACTTCAGTCAGAGCCTCTGAAGAGGAGAAGCCGGACTTGACACCCGTCATCCGAAGCCAACTTACATTCAAACGGCAGGTAAGTAAAGCGCCCCTGAGTTTCAGAGAAAGTGTTCAGCGCCACCCACTTACTGGACTATCAGAGGCTTATCAGCAAAGACGAAGGGCTTGGCCAGGACAGCGGAGATGGCATGGTGCTTCGCTCTGGACTTGAGCACCAGCCCCCGGTCACCCGGCACGTGGTTCTCTCTCAGTTCTTCTATTTCCCATCTTCCTAAATTAAAAGACAATGCACATCAAACTAAAGCGGCAAAGACTGGCTTAGGACTTATCAGCAGAATTTATCGTTCTGCTTCAGGAAAAGTGAAAGACTAAGCATGGGAAGCTCAGCACTGCAGTCAGAAGACCTGGCAGAGGCATCAGGCTGAGTGACCCCGTAATACTGGGGCCCCCAAAAATACTGGAAACAAGATAAAAACCGAGTCTCCCACTGTGAAGGAGGGTGTAGCCTCGGCCCCACACAGATATTTAACAGAAATGCCATCTCAAAACTAGTCAAAGGGGCCATACTGACTACAGCATAGACTTAAACTAATTTTTTACCATCATATATAGAAATCTCCTCATCTGTATCATCTTTCTTTGCTTTGGATAAGACCCACCTACAAATAAGGCAAAGAAAATGCATACCATTAAAAAAAAAGCAGCATTTATTATACAGATTTATATAGCTATACTCGATCCTTATGGGAACAGCTTTATAAATGTATATTCGTTACACAACAGAAGGTAACCCAGCAGTAACGTTTTATTCAAACATAAATGAACATTTAGAGGCTGATAAGGATAGCTATACTTAATCCTGAAAAGCTGCAGTTCAATCAAATTGAGAATCTGCAGTTTACGAGATGTACAGTCACAGACAAGATGTTCCACCAAGCCTCCATTTCCTCCCCTGAAAACGCAGCAAAGGTGATGCCGGTCACCTAGGACAGCGTCTGGCATATGTAATCAGTAAGTAATAACTGTCCTGATGCTTTTTATCACTATTTAGAGCAGAACATTTTTGTCATTTGAAATTAGTAATGATTGCCCTAAAGAATGGAAGAGTGTGACGTTTTCACTTTCTATGCGTAATTCATTTGTATATTTTCATAAATAAATAATTGTTCAATTTAAACATTTCTATGGATTAACACAGGGTGAGGTACTGATTAACACTGTCAGGTGAAGGCGTTTACACTTCGGATAGTTCTGCTGTAGAGGCAATTTTCATGAGCCAGTTACCAGTAACTTCAAAAGCTCTCCAAGTCAAGGGAAACCTTCCTTTCAATGATACTCACCCAGCCAGTCTTCCATTATCAAAAGTTTCTGTAAAATATACTTCTCCTATAGGTTGAGGTGTCTTATACTTTATCTAGAAAACAGATTTTTAGACATCTAAAGTTATTCATCTCTAGAAGTATGTTAAATAACCTCACTAGGTCAGAACCTAGTATGCAAAGTACACACGAGCACACGGCTCGAGGGCGAGGCCGCTGACGCCACGTGGCGTCCCCGTGCCAACATACAAAAAAGCAAAGAACCACACAGATGGGGAGAAGGCCTGGTGCAGAGACAGACCAGCCCTGACGGGGCCTTGAGCGCCTTTAACAGGTGGCAGTGTTGGGGGGTAAAGGTCATCACAAGTAAAATAGCATGATCTAACAGCAGGTGAGACAAAAAAATCTTATAAGCACATACGCTAGTTTAAAATTAATCCGTACATTTTACCACCACAGAACAGAGGAGGAGGAGATTGCTTTGGGACACAGGCAAGACGAACCCCCAGGTGAGGCCCCTCAGCCTGCTTCGCTGCCACGGCTGCCGCGCCGACAGTGAAGAGGTGCCTGGTGGTGCTGAGCCCGAGGCTCTGTTCAGCTGACACCCCAACACGGACACAGGGGCGGCGGGAGGCAGGCAAAGCCGCGTCGCCCCCAGTCACACAGCTGTGTGTGAATCAGGTTGCCTGGCCCGCAGCTTACGCTCTCAGTTACGGGAGCTCACAGCGGAGCTCAGTGATGAGAACCAGCTTAGTGACCGACTGTCCAAAGGCAGGTTGGTGGATGATAAAACCGCAAAATTTTGCCTCAAGCAACAGAAGTCAGCCGGAGGTCTGAGCGGCAGGACAAGCCTCGTCTGGGGAAGGGAGGCAGCCGTCTTTCCTGATCTCGCTCCCCCGCCCCTGCCCTGGCCCGGCATTCCCTCTTTCAGGGAGGAAAGTTAGCAATCACACCAGCTCCAGCTGATGGCCCCAAGCTGCGGGCGGATTCCTGGTCCCTCCCTGCTCTGGCAGTGGGTGGCAGCAGCAGGCGGGCGGGGCGGGTCCTCCCACCGCCACCCCTTCAGGCGCTGGCCCCTGGGGGCGCTCTGTCCACTCCTAGGACTGCTCCCGCTGACCAACTTTCAAACCACCACAAAGGCAAATGCAGGGCCCGGGCAGCAGCTCCCCTGGGGGCACCCTGCTAGCAGCTGAGGGGCTGTCTCTGCCACCCCAGCCCTGCGCCACTTTCCCAGCTCAGAGGATTTGGCCCCAAAGGAAGTATCCCTGTGGGATTAAAGGCCACAAGGGCTCTACGCGGCGGGGGTGGAGGCCAAGACGCCTCCAACACTAAGCGCCACCACCATACAGGGTGCTTCTCACAGCCAAACTATTCCTGAAAGCAATCCCGAGGGTTTCACGATTCGCGGACATTCCTTCAAGCACACGTTCCCACTACGGGGCCGCGGCCGGGCCCCCCAGCGGCCCCCCGCCCACGGTCCCATTCTCCCCACAGCGCCAGAAGTCAGACCGGAACCCGCCGAGCGGGTGTTGCCCTCCCCGGCCGGAAGGCGGCTCTCCCACCCGCCCAGAAGTGGAGGCTGTCACAACTACTGCAGCCTCTGCCTGCTCTGCATTTACCCAGGCAGCGCTGGTTCCCACCTGTGTAAGACTGAGGGTCGCCCGCCAGGCCTGGGCCCCACGGAGGGCCCCACGGAGGGCCCACGCCCAGCGAAGGGGGCGCAGGGCGCGCAGTCCCCGCAGCCTCACCTCTGGGGCGAGTTCTCCTTCCTTCACATCAACCTCCTCCGAGCTCTCGCCAAAGTCTTCCACCGTCTCAGCACCGTCATCCACAGAGTCTGCATTGACCGAGATGCACAGAAGACCCAGACACAGCCAAGGGCCGGGGAAACGCATGGTGACTGTCTGTGAAGTGGAAATAAGATGGCTGAGAAAAGCGCGGCGAGGCCTGGGGCACGACAGCATCTCCGGAAGGTTCCGGTATCCTGCAGGAGCTGCCGCCAAGCTGTGTGACCTCCCCAGCAAAACCGCTCCGTGCGCTTCGGACAGGAGAAAGGCCGAGCTCCACCGCCCCAGGCCTCAGACTCGGGCAGCGCCGGCAGGAGGACGGACTCCGAAATGCCACAGAGGCCACTTTTCCACGACTGTGTCCCTTGTCCACTACCAGGCCCATTACGTGCAGGACTTTCATAAAACCTGCGTACACTCACCTGCAAGCGCCAAACAACCACGGAGCAGGCTCGTTCCCAAAGCCCTCTCATCATCTCCGGCGGAGGCCAAGTCACAGCTCACAAGAAAGCGGGCGGGGAGGAGCGGCAGGGCCAGGTGCTGCCGTGGGGAGCCCTTCCGGTCAGCTCCCGCAGCGCGGCCAGCGCGGCCTGCTCCCTCCGGCCTGCTCTGGGCGGGTGCACCCTCTCCACGGCACGTTAGAATCAAGGGCGTCTCTTGGTGCCAGCGAGCTTCTAACCCCGAGCTGGCGTGGCCCTGGCCATCCAAAGGCCCGGACGGTAGTTACAGATATTTTTCAAAATTACCACCAAAATGAAGAATTAGTTTTCAAAAGTAAAGCCCTAGAACCCTTAGGTCCTCGAAGACACATCTACAGGCCAACGGGTCTGCTTCCCACTGACCTCAGGGCAGGACGCCCTGCCCCACCGCCTGCCGCGCTTGGCCGACGGGGACGCTGACAGGCTGGGCGCGGGGTGCCGGGGCCCTCACTGCGCAGTGGTGCGTCAGCGTGGAGCCGGCGCGGCAAGTCTGCAGAATTAAAATGTCCACTCCTAGGCACCCCCAGACGTGAATGCAAGTGTCCACGCGCACGTGGAAGTGAGTGTGTAAGCAAACACGATTCCCCACGGCCCGCCGACTGCTGAGGGGGTCAGCAGCGCGTGGACAGGGCACTCAGCTGCGAGAGGCCGGGCCTGGGGGCTGCATCTCCAAGGAGCTGCGTGAGTGAGGGCAGCTGACCACTCAGAGGCCACCTGTAGTATCATCCCATCTAGAAGAAACAGGCAAATCCCCCAAATTGGAAAGTAGGTAGCGACGGGTCAGGAAAAGGAGTGGGGGAAGGGCCGACAGCACGCGGCTCCTTTTGGGCTGGTGCAAAGGTCTCGACTTGGGCCAGGTGACGGGACACCACGCTGTCGATCTGTTAAAGCCACAGAACCATGCCTGGAGCTGAGGAACTCGGTGGTGTAAGTGGATGCAGCAGTAGAGCTGTTTTTAACAACACAGACCAGAAAGGCATTTTCCGTAGTTAATGGATCAGAACACACTTGGAGATGGAAGCGGCAAGCGTGTGTGGGCCCAGGAGCCTGTTAAAAGAAACCCCCTCGGCCCACCAAAGCTGAAGTGTACATGAAAGGTGCGTGATGCTGCCACCTTGGTGGACAAAGACAACACAAAAATGTCACTTGCTGTCACCTGCTACAAGGCTCGACACGTGAGTCATCACGGCGGTGGGAGGCAGCGGCGGGGGGCAGAGGCCAGCATGGCGGTCACCGAGGGCCTGTGGCTAGTTTTCAGTTTTGGGCACCGGGACGGATACACGTGGGTCACGTCAGTACCTGGGAAGGCTCAGGCCTGCAGGCTCGGGAGCCCTCTGTGCGCACATCTCGCAGCAGCGGGCTCCGGGGCTCAACTCCCGCTGCGTAAAGGAGAAACGCAGGCAGCGGCGGCCGCGAGCACCGAGTCTCACGCAGCCCC